TGGTTTCCGATGTTTAGTTGGATGTTATGGAGGGGGTTCTCAATCCAGTGAATTGAATAATCCATTTAGTTTTAGTTTCGATCATTCTGGAAACATGTTTGTTACTGATCAATCAAATCATCGAATTCAAAAATTTCAATATGTCGAAGAATCATGTAGTAAGTTTAGAATGATCGAATAAAGTTTCTAATATCATTTCAATCAAAATTTATTCAGAGAATCAAAAAGAAAAACTATCATAGAAGATAAGAATGAAAATGAAACTCCTGATGGAGTTAAAACTGAATTATTGATTAATTAAATTCAAATTTCAAGTTTCATCCTAATATACTATTGTTATAAAATAAAAACCTTGCTTGTTTGTATTTCTCTATAAAAGTCAATCAATAACATTATCGTCATGTTAGTTGCATGATGTAGATGGGAATTAGAGTGTCTATGTATTTATTAGAAATAATCAGAGATGAATTCAGTCCTTTCGGTTGAACTTTCTTTATAAATTTTCTTTGATTCACCGTTATCTGCGCTCACTTATCGCTGCTGACTGTAGAAAATAATGAACACAATGATTCTATAAAATGTAAGACATTCGTGAGACATAAAATTTTCATTGGACTAAAACCATTTCGAAGTAAATATCAATTTGAAGAAAAATTTCTCGCGTCGAATTCCATATTTTAGAAGAAAATAAGTTTTACAAATTGTTTTGAAATCAACAAAAAATCGTTTTGCATAATTTTTCAATGTGCTCTCAAATTCATAGATATAAAACATCTGTTAGGGAGAAATGACCCTATGCTGAAGTGTTAATTACAACCTATGGTGCAATCATAGAGATTCAGAATGCCACCTTTACTCTCGAGATGAGAAAATGATTATGTTATATTTGCAGTCACGCTTTTCGGTTGATGAACGAGAATAGAATTAGGATTATCACAAAAGAGTTGGATTTGGACGCACGTCAGTCTGCTCACAGAAAAATGCTAACAACGAGAAGAATGAAAAAATTTCTATCCTAACTTGATTATTCAAGATACGCTTTATTAAAATAAAAAATAATTGAAGAGTCGCTTTTGTAATCTTTTAACAATGGATCGAGTGTCAATTCTAACCGACATTTTCTTAATGATCTCATGCTTTACTCATAGACTGACTTAAATTTTATGAAATAGTTTGATCAGATAGTTTATTGTTATGCTTAGTGATATCGACAAAAAAACTAATGTTTTGTATTATATGTATCAAAGAAGAAAAGTTTGAAGATAAAGAAACAATGAAGAAATCATAAATTTATAAGTCTATCACTTATGAGATTTTCTTAGTTCAGAATGGTACTCCTTTTTATATATGAGATTTTCTAAAATTTCTTTATTGCAATTATTACAATGTCTCTTAGAAACGACATACGGATCTTAAGGGTTAACATCGATACTTATTGTAAGGACGCTAAATAGATATTTTATCTCATGTTTTTCCTCATTTTTCTTTTGAAAGCATTGCTCTAAAACAAACGATTCAACTCTCATTACTAAACAGAATGAAAAACATACTAAGAACACACAATTATTTCTTTTCTTTATTCTAAATAAAAATACTTATTAATTTTTTTCATTCAATAGATAATTCATTATTACTAATAAAATCAATGTATTCATCATCGTTGACACCAAATAGTTCAATTTATTACCAAGAATGTTCAGAGTTAAATTCATATTATGAAGCGATACAAGTCAACGTCACTATAACTGAGTATTATACTTTTCTAATCAAAAGCGAAATGAAAACCATGTACGCTTATATCTACACAAATAACTTCAATCTATTCGATATGTCCAAAAATGTGCTTATTCGTAATGGAGACTCTGACAATCAAGGCCAATTTCAACTCGCAGCTGTTCTTGAATCTAATATGAAATACATTTTCGTTATGACAACATCTTCTCCGAATATAACAGGAAATTTTTCAATTCAAGTATCCAGCCGAAGCTATATCGATTTCAATCGTATTTGTGAGTATTTATAGTATTTTAATAGATAATCAGCTGCACATATTCCCTAGACTGAAAAGGATAGGGTCTAGAAACGGGAATTATCTATTTACATGTATTATTTTCGTCGGTAATATGGCACAAATGACAATTTTTTGGCCCACATAACCATGTAACTGTAGTATATTTTTGATAATATAATTTTATTTGCTATTATCGTTTTATCTGAATAGCATAATATTTAATATATAATATTTTATATAATTGTATCAAAAGAGCGTGAACTTAAAAATTTAAAATGTTTAAGAATTATATATAGATTATTATTTTATTCAACAAATTAAAATATTTCGATGAACGCTACTTGTTCATAATCGATAAAAAATATAGATAAACCCAGTCTACAAAATGATATACAGATAATTCTATTCGATAGAGACTAAGATTCATATCACTTCCAGTCGCTTTCGGTAAATATATTTAAGAGAGAAAATAAAATTTTAAATTATTTACACTTGTTTCTATATTATACAAAATTGAATCAATTTTCTTTTTTGTCAGTGAATACTTCATCAGTTGTCCAAACAGTTTATGCATCAGAGTTGGCTACGAGTAGTTCAACGTATTTCGATGTCGAGTACGGACCAAGTTCTTACTATGATGCGATGCAAGTGAATGTTCGTACAAGTGGTTTTTACACTTTCATCGGCAAAAGCAATATGAATATAATCGGGCGTATTTACAAAGATGATTTCAATCCATCCAATCCAGCTGAAAATATACTCCCACCCAATGCTAACCTCTGCAATAAAAATCAGTTCAGACTAACAGATGGTCTTGAAGCCAGTATCACATATATATTGATTGTGACAACATTTTCCTCAAACATGACAGGTACATTCTCGATCTTTATATCTGGTCCAGACAATGTTCACCTCAAGAATATTAGTAAGTGTGAGAATGCATCCTATTCCGCGATGTTGAACATTGGAGGAACCAGTTCCGCACCGGAATCGATTCCGTCCAATTCCGGGAACTCGATCGACACACAACATAAGACACCCAGTCAAGATTGATCGAGTTCGACCGATTCCGGAATTGCACGGAATTCCCACCGATTCCGGAATTGCACGGAATTCCTGCCGATTCCGGAATTCCGTACCGGAATCACACCATCCACTTCACCCACATTTATTGTGTTGTGTTGATAAGTTATCCCGTTTGAATACGATCCAATTCCG